TCTTGCGCGCAGTTCCGCGGCAAGGCGCACGCAGCGTATAAAGAAGGAAGTAATAAGTATAAATAAGCCTTCTTTATACGCTGCGTGCGCCTTGCCGCGGAACTGCGCGCAAGATCTGCGCTCAGCGCTTCGGATCAACACCTCCTTTCGGCAACGCTTCTCTAGTATCCCGTCTCATCTGGATATAGTCTCACAGTATACGCGCGCCACTGTGCACAAACTCACACATATAGCGAGAATCTCTATTTACCATTGATCATTTCATTATTAAAATGTTCAAAGTGTCTGTGATGCTACATCTACGGAGAAAATATAAACTTGCCAGCGAACAAGCCCGACTCTACACAGGTACAGGTAGGGTACACCCCACCTCCCCCCCGCCCCACCCCATACACAACAAGCAGCAATCATGGGATACAGGTAAGAACACAGGTAACAAGCATTTACCTGCCACGGGTGTCAGAGCAACACCGAGACAAAACCGCGCGAAAGCCGCTCTGCTGTGTAATGATGATGATGATGGTGATGATGATGATGATGATGATGATGATGATGATGGTGATGATGATGATGGTGATGATGATGATGATGATGATGATGATGATGATGATGATGATGATGGTAATGGTGATGATGATGATGATGGGTACAGCTAGTGGGTAAGGTTGTTCTCAGCCACAGTTAAGCCTGTCAGAGTTGTTAGACGTGCGTGTATAAGCACGTAAGTAAGGTGAGAGATGTAGAGTGGCATGTCAACACATCACACGCATGATTGATGGATAGATGAAGAAAACACGACGCTATGATGAGATATACACAAGTATATATTATACACAAGTGTTATATATAATATATATATAAATATATATACGCTCACGCATGCATACACTCACACACACACACGCGCGCGCACACACACACACACTCGCGCGCGCGCGCACACACGCACGCACACACGCACGGCGTGGTGAACGTATATAGATCTGCTTACATATGCTTTATACTTACACAAGATAGACTACAGATACTTATAATAAATGCTATGTACTTACTTTGCTTCGTCGATCTCTATATCAGAGTTGAGCCGCTGACGAAAGTCCGCACTGAAAGCAGAGACAGACAAACATCTATCACCATGGTTACCGCTACCAGCATGTACGCACAACACGCCGCGTGCACGCACGCACAGCGCGGTGGTTCTCTGTACCGTTCCTCGCCACGGTATGTTCACCGTGTGTTCGTGAACGCACGCACAGCGCGGTGGTTCTCTGCACTGTTCTCTGTCACTGTATGTTCACAGTGTGTTCGTGAACGCACGCACAGCGCGGTGGTTCTCTGCACTGTTCTCTGTCGCTGTATGTTCACCGTGTGTTCGTGAACGCACGCACAGCGCGGTGGTTCTCTGCACTGTTCTCTGTCACTGTATGTTCACCGTGTGCTCGTGCACGCACGCACAGCGCGGTGGTTCTCTGTACCGTTCCTCGCCACGGTATGTTCACCGTGTGTTCGTGAACGCACGCACAGCGCGGTGGTTCTCTGCACTGTTCTCTGTCACTGTATGTTCCCTT